CATTATATTCTTCCTCACTCATCAACTTAATCTTTTGACTAAACTAGCTGGTACATGTAACTCAATAACATCTGTAGGAGTTTGGGGAGCATGTAGTTCGACAGCACCACCAACGATGACACACACATGCATGACTGCAGTAGCAAGTCACCCTACGGTCGCAATTGAGTTGCAGCTCTCAACAATTGACCACGTTTTGGAGATCGAAGATCAGTTAAGCGTTGGTTTTTGCCTAACGTTTTGGAGATCATAAATGTCATGGAGAAATTTTGGTCCAGCATGAAAATGACAGTTTATTAATTACCGGAAGACTTTGTGCTCGATTTCGATCGTTTCAGTCATGTGTGTTTTTACTGGTTAATTATATATTAAGATGGGTTGACGATATAGAAACGTGCAAATTATCATGTTTGTCTGAAACGTATAGTACATAGGAACACGTATGTTGCACATCGTCGACTCGTCGTCACGACATATTAATTATCACATGCTTGTTTGATTTTCTGGAAGAATTAAAGTCCCATTACATTTGGACGGTATACTTCTTTTTTCCTCCCCTAAATTAATTAGCCAAGACCTAGCTCTACCTGGGAGCTGGGGTTAATTATAAGGATGTTTTAGCCTTGGTTTGGTATTATATTGCATTGGTTATGATAACTTTGTTTGGTGAAAACGTTTTAACATTGTTATGTGGTTTGCCAAATTGAATTGTTTACGTTCTAATGTACTTTGGTAAGGATAATATTATTTATGGCATGAAACTATCAAACAATTGAGAGAGGGAGAGGGAGAGAGAGAGAGAGAGACTTAAAAACATAATTTATCTAACCACAATTCGATCAATAAAACAATGATCATGAGGTTTAATTTCCATACATGCATGCAACTTGAAAAAAATATGGCATAATCATAAATCCATTTGACCTCTAAACTCTTCGCTTTGTCTAAAACTCATCTCCAAACTTGAAAACCAAATATTTGAAAGCTGGAAGGGATCAAATACCATGTCTTAGAGCTTAAGGGTGAGTATAATATCGAAGAAAAAAAAAAGGAAATAACACGGAACATCTAGTTAGTTCATCGATACAATAGAACTACTAGGTAGAATATGTGTGATATGTCTTACCTTTTTATTCAAGTGATCATCTTTTTAGAGGAGCTAAGGATTTATCCTATCACTCAATATATTTTTGTCATTCTCAACTTTAACACTTATTGATTCTATGCCAGCCAGTAGAGGCTAACGGTGTAAACTATTTGAGCCCCACTACGGTGGTCTCTACTGGTAATAGGAAACAATTTGAACCATTGATCTCATTTAATAGATGGAAGGATGCAAATCTATTCGTACTACCACCACCTCAGTTAACGGTAGTAAAAACATAGAGAGGTACTATTGTTAAAAAAAGATGCGATAGGGTATAATTGTCATTAAGTAGTGACTACACTTCCTTTTCTCCTTTTTTGGCTTTTTCGATGGAATATAAATGATGCCAGCGCAATATAATGACCACAGATCGATCTAAACGGGAAAAAACATAATGTTAAAGTTACCCATAATTATTATATTAATAAATTACTAATTTATCCTTAATATGGATAAATCATTTCTATTGGTATTATAATACTACCAATAGAAAACACAGTAGTATCGTTCAAACTATTTTCATTGTTAAAAACAAAAGAAATCATCCCCTCTCTTGCACATAGCATGGGTTGTTATAGTTGCTAAATAAGTTTTACTCCAGTAACAAACAGACACGAGACCAAAACACAAGTAGGAGTAGTACTTCTAGTGCGCGCATTATAAGCATGTCTTCTAACTTGTCAACATCAGCCATGAATACTAAAATTAATTAATCCCTAACTGTGCGCTGCGGCCTTTTGAACTAATCCACGGATAGCAGATTTAATTCTACAATGCATGCATGACAGTATGACACCGACTGATATATTATAGTTTCAGCTTTTCAATCACATGCATATATATATGACTTAAGTACACTCCTGTGTAATTTTCCCTGCTATGGCTTGCATTGACCAAACGAAGACACTGACAATAAGGAAGTAAAGCATTTTTCTCATGTGGACCACGTGCTCTAAATTAACCTGCATACCACTATGATCAAGACCCAAACCCAGGTATATAAGCTGACGCCAGGTCAGTCTACTCATATACTCCATCCGTTCTAAAATATAAGGATTTTTACTCCCTATATCTTGAAGCAAATCACTTTGTTTAGATTAATGTCGTATAAAAGTTGATTTATTTTAGGATAACAATTAGGCGTTGTTTAGCAAATATTAAGATTATGTCAAAAGATTCCTTTTGTTCATTTTAATTGTCAATTTTTAAATTTTGAATGGCTAGAGATTCCATTTCTAAGCATCTAATTGGCTTTCGAATAATGGGGATCAATATAGAAATGCTTATATTATAGTAAAACATTTGAATTCTAGAAATGCTTATATTTTTTTAATAGAGGTAGTATACATAAAATTTTTAGATATATAACTTGTTGTAGGCTATTTTTCTAGGTTTAGAATATGTAATGTTTGATTTATCCTATCCATTTATAATTATGACAATCCCAACAGGGGCAAATGTGGGCCTAAGCCCCCTTGGCCAAACCCTTCATATATTATTGAGTTCTAGAGAAAAAAAGAATACTAGCTAGATATAAGAAACATAATACATAATTGAAAGATAATTATAGTTTTTCATTTTTTTCAAATTAGATGTTTTTAGAAAATAGATTAAAACCCGGCCTCTACCTCCAAATTAACTAAATTGAAGGTACAAAGCCAAATATTTTTTCAAATAGATATTCATATATATATATATATATATATGTGTGTGTGTGTGTGTGCGCGCGCGCGCGCGTGTGTATCTATTAAATTTATCTTACATTTAGTCTTGTTATAGAGATTTTCCACCAAAAGTCCCTCATGGCATCTGCATCAATCTGATGGGGCACATATATAGCCGCATTATTGTAAGCTTGCATAAAACTTTCAGAAATGACAGAAAGAAACCAAGATTTTCGACCAAATAAGCAATCAAGTAACGACAACACAATCAAGTGTTTTTACAATGGTCTCTATTAGAAATCAATTTAGACTGCTCATATTTGCTAGTTTAATGGATTGTGTATATTTATACTACCACCTCAACTACTAGTAGTAGCATTTTTTTTTCTACTGATAGTACGTAAAACTTATAAATCAACAGTTGAAATCAGTTCTAGTACTCATAATATTCATCACCCTAGATAGTATTATAATCATATCCGTTGAGACTAAGAAAGTTGTTATAAAAAAATGAGACACAGTTTCAGTTTCTGAGCAAAACAAGAAAACAAGACCCAATTAATGATGCAGCCTGGAACCAGCTCTGGTTAATTTAAAAACCTCTAGCAAGGAAAGTCAGAGGAGAATCCAGCAAACACATAGCATACGGTAAGTTATAGTAGTAGTTTTTTTTTTTTTGAGAATTAGTTATAGTAGTAGTAGTTAGCTATATATTGGCATGCATGCAGGCTCAGGTAACGTGCTGTCTCTTTCTTTGCTTTCTACTTAGATCAAGTCACGTTACGTTAGAGCACAGGCAACCTAGATTAGGTCACAAGTGGAGTAGAAAATAAAGATGAGCTAAATTAATGCGAGTGGACGATCAGTAAAGTCAAGTAGCACAAATCATCCCAACTGCATATAGACAACAATTAAAATACTTAGCTCATTTCAAAATATCTATATTTTTTACTCAAAGAAATATATATCTATTTGTTTCGGGGTGTATAAGGGGAAAGCACAGTAACCATTTTGAGGTGTATAAATATAAAACAGAAAAATGATGAATCTGAACTACTTCTTTCAACTGTCAATATATATATGGAAAGGTTACATTGGAGTGATAATACCTAGATTATTTCATTCTTTTTAACTAAGGGAAGTATGTATTAATTGTATGTATACATATTAATTTTTGTACATGTCATAGTTTCTACACACCTTGTTAATGGTGTAAGCTTATATTTTCAATGGCTTCTAATAAAATGTTTAGTTTGAAAACACATAAAGCTAAGCATATATAAGTTTGCATTAAAAACTACATCTATAAAGAAACAAAATTATGGTAAAAATCGCACCTCAAAGACAAGGGAAAGGTGAAAATGTCAAACAATTTTGACCGAAAAGAGTACTAAAGTAAGTAAGGTTGTGTTCATTCATGCGAGAGAAAGAGATAAAGTGCATCGTTTTTTATGCACACGCTTTCCAAGCTACTAAACGGTGTGTTTTTTTTAAAAAAAAATTTTGTAGAAAATTTGCTTTAAAAATCATATTAATCTATTTTTCAAGTTTGAAATAATTAATACTCAACTAGTCATGCATTAATGGCTCAGCTCATTTTACGTATCTTCTCAATTTTCGTCTTTCTTCTTTTATCAAACACAGCCTAAGTACGCAATATTGAGTTTGCATGCACTAAACTGATTTCTTGTTAAGTTGCATAATCTACCAATTAAGAAATCAAACTGAGACAAGGGGCCAATAAAGTTCAACACAAATACAACAACAATTGAAAATGAAACAGGGAGAGAATTGCATACAGGTACATTCGCGAAACTAAATTTCAAGATGACGCCATTGCCAAATTAATTATGTACTATATGCAGTCTGCTTGAAAAGTCTATATTCTCATGATAATGGAGTTGTCTCCAAATTAATTTTGCAGACTAGAACTCTGCCTTCCAACCAATCTTTTAGTATCTTTCCTTTACTAAAAAAAAAAAAGCAAACCAATTACTCATTAATTTAACACCTATTACAGTTAAATAAAACCAGAAACATTAGCTTGGTCTAAACTAAACTAAATAAAAAAGAAAAAAATAAAATGATGAGGGGACTTTGAAGGCTTCAAATAAAACAATGGCGTTGTCTCATTGTCAACGGCAAGACCTTCTCCTTCCTCCTCTCTTACTACTTATGAGCGTATTTGTATATATACCACTTGCGGGTGCTGCGGAATGGAGCAGAAATGTGCCTTCTCTGATTGATTTTAAGGTGGTTTTGGCCCTTTGGGTCCTTTCTTGAGGGATTTGCACAGGCAAGACCACCGTTCAATTTTGGTTTCTTCCAAGGGAGAAGATTGTGGCCGTTTTCTTGAGGGGGTTTGATCTTTTTGTGGGGAGTGGTTTTGTGTTTTCCTGAAGAAATTTGAGTTCTTTCTTTTTCTTGGAGCTGTTCTAGCAGTCTAGGTCTCAAGAGTGAAGCAGCCTGCTTCCACTGGCTCTCGGGCGTTTCAGTTTGCTTTCTCCCCAAATTTTGCTTCTTTCTTGTGAGAATTGTAGTTTTAGTCTTGCCGGAGCTTATTCTTTTTTTGTTAATTCATTTTTTTTCTTGTGAGAATTGTAGTTTTTCAGGAAATCTTTTGGTTCGATTTGTTCTGTTAAGGAATCCGAGTGAAAAGTGTTGTTTTCAATTTTTTTTCCTTGTATTTCTTCAAACGAGGAATCTTGAGTAGTTTTCTTTTGAATGAAAGATACCTTAGTGTTTGTTTGCCATATCGCTACAGTTGATTTTGGTAGCTCTGGATGATTGGGAGAGAAGGTGCAATTTGTTAGTGCCTTGTGAGAGAAATACTATTGATTAGCAGTTCTTGGACAGAAAATCTTGCATCCTCCAGCACCAGCAGTTTTCTCCTACTGGATCAGTGTTCGGATCAAACTTGAAGTGGATGACGTCGGTGAGTTGCTTATTTCCGATTTTTGCTCCCGGAATTAAAATATTCATGATGCTGGTATTGAGGATTTTGGCTTGTAGCATGATGCAATTTAATTTTACTTGATGTTTCTTACTCCACCGACGATTGATTTAGTAGTTACAGAGGAAAGCAGGGGATCTTATTCATATTGGTTAGTTAAAACCGATCACAGTATTGAACCAAACGATCTTCTTGTTGCTGGGGTTTTATTTAGAACACATATATTATTGCACAATAGATCTATGACAGAAATTTCAGGTGTTTGGGAGGTAGTATAATGTAATTCTGGATTACCTCATGTTCTTGGGTTTTTTTTTTCTTTGTAAAGAATTCGACGGATTTATTGGCTTGATATGGATGAAAGGCAAATGGCACATCCATGAATCATGATGACAAGTTGACAACACAGGATAATGATAAAATCAGGGGGTCGTAAAATAGATTGTGTATTTATTATCAAGGAGACAACTGTTTGCACATGCTTCTTAATGATAGAATACTGGAATAGTATTGTTCTCATATCATTTTTTTTCCCTTTTGTTGTTCCAGTAATTTCCCTTCAGACTTTTGTTTTCTCACCGATTTAGTATTGTTAGTTTGTTACTACTGATAACTCTTCAAAAAGTTATTCAACCTATGGGGTATATACTTATCAATTTGAAATGTATAATTCTATAATCAACTGTACATTTTTTTAGAATCTGTGACAATGTATCAGCCATGATTTGGTTAGATGACAAATGTTTGCTAATTCATTTCTCCAAACAGCAAGGAGGAGTTCCTACATTCGGGAACTGGTCAGCCGCAGGCGACACCCCGTACACGCAGAAGTTTGAGAACCTGAGAAGGAGCAAGAAAACTGCTACCGGTGTTTACTCCAACCCAAATGAAGTGATCACTGAAACACCTGATCAGCCTCCTCCTCCTCTCAGGTCACCACTGCATCCATCCTCTCATGATGCCCTGAACCAAAGGCAGAGGTATGAAAGAAAGCCCGAAACCGGCCATCCCCGGCCTGCCGGATCGCCTCTCCACCGCGAAACCGTGGCGAGACGGCACGCCAATCCGCTGCAGCAGCATCATCTGGACCATGGTGGCTATGGTGGCTCACCCAGAAGCCCTTACAGAGAAGTTGCAGCTGCTGCTGCTGCCTCTCCAAGGTCCAGGTACAGGTCAGCTGGGATGCAGACTCCAGATAGGAAGGCCTCTTCATCTGATGGCCGTGTCCCAGTGACTCCAGGAAGGAGCAGGTTGAAGCAAGGAGGCAGAGGCTTTGAACCTGTACAGTTCTTCACCTCATCTCGATCTCCATTTGCAAATTCAGAAATGATGTGCACATTGTGTGTTAGAGGTTTTCTGAATAAAGTGCATTTGCATTCTGAGTTTTTTTTCTTTTTCAGGCTTTAGATGAAGTGACTGTACCTCCATTTGGTGATTGGGATGATGCTAATGCGGCATCTGGGGAGAAGTACACCGGCATTTTTAACAGGGTTAGGCGTGATAAGCTGACCCCAAACTCTTCTGTCAAGCAGCAACCACCATCTTCTCCTTCTGGTGGCAGAAGACAGGAACATAAAGTGCAACAGGTATCTGTGTGCTGTCCCTAACTATACGACAAATCTTTTGTGACTTATCCCACATAATCCATATGGGAGCATTACTTTGTAGTATGATTCTTGCTCAGGTTATAAGATTACTTATGGAGTTATGGTCAATTTTCCCGGCGACTATGGTGATTTTTTCTTGGCATCTTTAGGTGCATTTGTTTTGTAATATGCTAGATTTATGTGTACAGATATATAGCGAAGTAACTTAAAGATGCATTAGGCAGTCCCTCAGTAAGTAATTCTGCTGTCCCACTAATGGAATATAATAAGGACCAATGAACATAGTGAAAATTTTATATATCATGGTTTTACTTTTCGATTGCACTTCTGGAGTTATGCATTGTCCCCTGTTCTAGTTCAACTCTGTTTCTCACAAAGCCATGAATTACTATCGACACTACAAAACATGCAAAAATTCATTTGAATATTTGATCACCCAGAAGTCATAACAGAGGTATATACAAGAGATGCAAATTGAGTTATGCAGTTTGTATATCCATGGAATGTTTGACCTTTGGCTATGTACACCTTTGGGTGTAGATGCCAGAAGTGGTTTGCTTCCATTATCTAAAAAAGAAATGTTTTGCCTAACAAGTCTTAATATTTGATGCTTTCTTATGTACTTGGCAGATTAAAATCTGAACAATTTCAGTTTTCTGCTTTTAAATTCTTTTGATTAGTTATATCATTGGGTCTTTCAAAGTGATAAACTAGATTGATACAACTGAGTTGGGAAATCTGAATTCATCAGCAGAATTTTCAGTGCAACACTATAATGAAAATGTAATCACTGATCTCTTTCCCTCTCAGGCCTGCTCATGCTGCATCCTGTGACGAGATTAAGAGCTGGACATCCTGCACTGGACCTGCCCTTTTGTTCTTCTTGGTGACATATAAAGGCACATTTGAATATTTGAAGAGATTCATATAATGGAAATACTTTGCCTTTGCTTGAATATAGGTGCATAGAAAATATAGAATGCGATACAGGTCTGTAACATATATATATCTAAGTATATAAATCAGCTTCTACAGTTTCCCTTTCCTATCTTGGCTTTGTTTCTCAGCATCCTGCACTAGTCCATGAAGAATGCTGATGATGTTTTACCTGTAATCTGGCTTTTGATTCTCACTCATGTATCTATTTATATCGTGTCACTGGCGACAATTTTCAGTCATAAATTTGCCAGTTGTAAGATACTTTGTGAGAAATGAGTATTGTCTTCATGATGAAGAAACTTCAGAAATTCATGGAGGCTAATGAAGAGTGATCAAAGAAACCAACACCACATGCATGATTTTTTTTCTTTCATGTACCATATCAAGTTATCAACAAAGGACAAAGTATACACATTTTAATTTGCAAGATCACATAACAATTATTAGACTTAAAGCTATTTTATGTCTTTCTCAGCAACTGGTGTTGTCAGATTTTCTTTCTGTCTAAACACAAACTTGTTACTGTAATAATTACCACCGATTCAGTCAGAATCAGAGCTGCACCTGACGGCCATGGATCCAGCTGAACGGAGCGGCGGCGGCGGGCGGCGCCCGCTTCGCCGCCTCCTGCGCCCTCTCCTCCATCCTCCTGAACCTCGGCCCGAGGCTGCAGACGAAGTCCTGCGCGCGCCGCCCTTCGCCGGAAAGCCCCGCGGCGAGGCCGGGGACGCCCCACCTCGCGACGAGGAACTCGATGATCCCGGCGTAGTCGGCGGCGGTGTACACGCCGAGGCGCTGCGCGACGGCGGCGAAGCGGGCGAAGAGGCGGTCGTCGGCGCCGTCGTACATGAGGCGCGCCGGCATGGCGACCTTGCGGCGCATCATGCGGGCGAAGGCCCTGACCGTGTAGTCCGGGTCCACCTCGAAGAGCTTGGCGACGATGGCGGCGTAGGCGGCCTCGTGGCGCTTCTCGTCGGCGGCGACGGTGCCGCAGACGCGGGCCAGGGCGGCGTCGCCGTGGCGCCCCGCGTGGCGCGCCGTGTTGCCGTGGGAGATGGAGGTGGCGCGCTCCTGGAACGTCGTGTAGATGAACCCCATGTACGGGTCGTTCTCCGTTCGTGGATCCTTGCAAGTTGCAACCAAAACCAAGCAAACAACATTGAATTGAAATCTAGCCAAACATTTTGGGTGTGTTGAGTAAAACTTTCTAGATGCACTGCAGCGAGTGGTGTGGTTTTAACCTGAGGTCTCGGGTTTAATTCTTAACACGCTCATAATTTAGGTTTGAAAGATGTGTCAGTGAACATTTTCCATGTCTACCACAGTTTTATTTGTTAAAAAAATGTATGTATAATTTCTTCTTAAAAAATGTGTGAGTGATCGCTTTTCATGTCTACCACAGTTTCATTTGTTGAAAGAAAAAAAAAAGACCCTTTCTCAACTAACAAAACAAATGAGCTACAAGAGTACTAACTACGGTTCTATAATAATTGATGCTTTGGACAAGGTTGAGGTCAAACTTTTATAACTTTGACCATAAATAACTTTAAAAATATTTGGTTTAAAGAAACTAAAACAACATTTATAGATTTATCTTTCAAAGCACTATAATAAAAGTAAACATGCATTTATTTATTGTATATATTATAATAGAAAAATAAGGTCAAAGATATATTTCGTAGACCGTGTCATTATCCAAAATGTCAATTAAAATGAAACCGGAGGGAGTAAACAAATGAACCAGAATGCCTACGCAATATTCGAACTTTTTAGGGATCATGAGAATTTCACGAAATTCTAACCATTAGACATCACGATCTAAATTGAACTGTTCGGATAACTCCCCTATTTTTCTTATCCCCTTCTACCTTGCTTGCTCAACCTAGTTTGTTTGAAGAAGCTTCTAGTAGAAATAATTCTCCCAAAATCTCTAACTCCTTCAAACAATCATATTCTTACCTAGATTCTGAAAATATATATTTATAGAATTCAAAAAACGACTTTGAAAACTAAAACTAGAAAAACCAAGTTTTTCTATATTTTTATAAGCTAGCTACCAACTTACAGCTTCTAAGAATTTTAAAACACCCGTTAACAAGGCCCTACCAACGACCTGACACCATTACATCAAGATATTGTCTCCGTCACCTAGCACCCCACTACCCTTTGTCACAACCGGCATCACCTCTTGCGCTAAAGAGACATGCAAGACCATGACACCCCTCTCCTCATACCTATATCCTCCCTGTAGCCTTATGTTATTGCTTCTTCTCCATCTTCTCTAGCTCTAATGTTCCATGTAACTGCCCTTCTCCATCTTTTACGGCCGTCGACACCGGACCACTACATAACCAACTAATTCCTTGACACCCTCGCTGCCTCCACTATCCTCCTCCCCATACATGGCTTCGGTGACGCTATTATAACCTCGCAACCTCTCCACTGCTGATATCCGCTGTTGTTTCTTTATCATTGTGATCGCCCTCTAAATAAGGGAACTCCTCCAACTTTTCGATCTCAACCCTAAAACTTAACCACTTTAAAGGTTACAGGGCTTTCACGGATGGATGTCAGCTAACTAAACCACGAATCGCAAAGCAAATTGTAGAGGAAAAAAAATCACATGCCGCCAAATCTCATCTGAATGTCATGTCCTATTAACAAATCTGTAAATGTAAACCAGCAATCTTATAGTAGTATATACAATATGTAATATTCCCTCCGTTGTATATCGTAAGTTGCTTTGACTTTTATCTTAATCAAACTATTTTAAGTTTGACCAAGTTTATAAAAAAATATAATAATATTTTTAACACAAAACAAACATATTATCAATATATATTCAACATCAGATTTAACATATTCAATATCAGATTCAATGGATGTTATTGATATTGGCATATTGCTAATATTTTCTATAATCTTAATTAAACTTTAAAAAGTTTAAATAGAAAAAGAAAATCAAAGCGACTTGTAAGGTGAAACGGAGGGAGCAAATGCTTACCATGCCGGAGCCAATGAGGTACTGTATCGTCTTCTCGACCTGCCTCATGTCGACCCTGCCGGTGAGGTAGAGGTACTTGTTCATCAGGTCGCCGTGCCGGTTCTCCTCGGCGGCCCACGCCCTGGTCCACACGGCCCAGGCGCTGCCGCCGGCGCCGGTCTCGTCGCGCACCCCGCCGTCCATGGTGTTGAGCATCGTCTGGTACGTGGGGAGCGCCTCCTCGGTGACCATGTCGCCGACGAGGCACACCAGGTGGTCGTCGGGGAGCCCCGCCGCGCGCTCCCGCAGCGCCGCCACCTCGTCGCCGAACGACGGCGAGCGCGGGTCCGGGAGGTGGTCCTGCGGCTGCCACGACTCCTCCACGGGCTTGAGGTAGGGGAGGATGGTGTCCGCCGCCCACCCCTCCAGGGAGTCGAAGACCTCCTTCTTCTCCGGCGGCAGCGTGTGGGTCACCTGGGGTGGCACCTCGCGCCACGGGGCGAAGGGCTTCTTGCCTCTCGGGGTGGGGTTGCCGATGCCGCCAACTCTTCAGGTTCAGAGGAGGAAGAATATTCAGAAATGGCGACTGTATGGTCAAGATGATATATGAACCGAATGTTTTGCATCTGGATATGTGGGATTGGATTGTTGAAACATCAGTGAATTTTACGATAAATTAAATGCAGTACAGATGATACTAATCATTGCTCGCTTCGTTACATACTTTTAGTTGTTTTGACTTTTTCCATTCAAACTTCTTTTATGATTGATTAAGTTTATAACAAATATAGTAACATCTACAATACCAAGTTAATTAGTTTTATCAAAACTAACATTTTATATATTTTGATAATATATTTGTTTTGGGTTGGAAATATTGTTATAGTTTTTTTATAAATTTGATTAAATTTTAAAAGAAAATCGACTAGAGAAAAGTAAAAAGCAACATATGATATAAAACGAAGTAGAACGTACAGAAATGATGGCAACGAGGTAATCTTTCTGTAAATAAATCATTGTCATGTTGAGATCACGGTTTTCCAAACTGCTGAGTCCGGGGTTACCGCGTCCCGGCGGTAAGCACGGTTACCACGGTAACCGTGAAAAACCATGCAAAATTTATTTTTTAAATTTATTTGAATTTAAGCCCAGTAACCGTGGCATTTATATTACCGTACCCCCACGGTAACCGCGCAGTTACCGGTGGTAACGTAAACCCTGGTTGAGATGCTAAGCAAGTACTCTCTTCAAAGCACGGCTGCATACTACTCTGTTAAAAAAAAAGATAAACCTTAGCTATGAATCTGGATATGCATATGTCCAGGTTCGTAGCTAGGATTAGGGTTTTTTTTTACGAAGGGGTACACTTGCAGTGAAAAGGAACTATATGAGAGAGTAACACGTTTTTACTTTTTTTTTTTTGGGTAAGATAAGCTGGTCAAATTATCACCTAAATTGGCATGACTAGGCTAAATATGAACATCTGACTCCATCTGTATTTTATTTACTACCTTCATCCTAAAATAATTATATTTCAACTAAATTTCAGACATATTTAATGTGGTGATCCGAAGCAATTAGCTCACTTGATTAGCATTCACAAATTAATTGGCTGGGTTCTACCTTTGTACAAATACAACTTTTTTAGAACAAAATTTAAATGGTAGAAATACAATTGTCTTGAAACAGAGGTAGTACTTTATATTGGCCGTGGAAATCAACAGTAATTGTGAAATCTATTTTTTTCCCCTTCTAGAACTAAATTAAAGGAAGGTGTGCCAGTCTGAAGGCAGTGGCACTTTACTGAACTGTATCTCTAGGACTTCATGCTTTTCGGATGCTACAGGCGGGTGTCCTGAACACTAGAAGAACTGTGACAAACAAACTAGCATAATCAAACAAACTACTTCATTCGTTTCATATTATAAGACTTTCTAGCATTATCCACATTCATTAGTATCTATATAAATATAGATAATGCTAAAAAGTCTTATAATCTAAAAGTAGGTAGAACAAGCGAACAGTATTTTATTTTATCTAGGAAAGGCGCATAAGAAGAAGTGAAGAACTTTTTTGGTTATATAATGCAATTGACCAGTATTATTACTAGTGTACACATGAAAATATAAAAGAACAGAACCAAACAATAAGAAGGAAAACATGCAAAAAGGAAAAAGAAAAGAGAGAGAACAGCTTGAAGCTAAAAACGACCAATGCCCCTATGACGAACAAAGGCGCAAGGCAACCAGTAAAAACGATCAAGAAAAATTCAGAACGAAACAAAGGATGACACAATGTAGATGACGAGATCAGGGGGGCAGTTCAACAACTATAGCACGGGCGAATGGCCGAAATTGTTTGAAGTGAAACTCCCAATCAACAATTTTCAACATACAAGATGAAGAACATGCAGCAAATTAATTAATCCCTTTAGCCTAATCAAACCCGGCAAAATTCGAGGCGAGATCAAGGTCGACAGAAAGGAAAATGAAAATGAAATGGATCAAAGCGCACCCTGCCGTGGACGCCATCGCCACGACAGGAGAGACAGAGGCTCCTCCTCCACTGGTTCTCCTCCTCATCGAGCATGGCGGCCGAGGAGGGAGGCATCCCGTGAGAGACATGGCCGCCGCTACCTTCCTTCTTCTTCTTCTTCTCTTCTTGCTTGCACGCGCTTGCAGAGTAAGAGGAATACTGAATGGACTATAGTGAAGCAGAGTAGAAGAGGAGCAGTATTGCTTCTGTTTTTGGCTTCGACCTGTCAGGCAAATTTTCTGGTTCACCTGACTTCGACATCCTGTTTGTCCCGGAGGTTCCAGAGGTTTCCAATTTTACAGATATACTTTCTCCGTTTCATAGTGTAAGTCTTTTTTTTTTCGGGGACACAATCATTCTAACACTACCCACATTTATATTGATGCTAATGAATATTATATATATATATATATGTATGTCTAGATTTATTAGCATCAATGTGAACGTGAGAAATACTAGAATGACTTACATTGTGAAACAGAGAGAGTACTATCCTTTTTTTTACTGTCTGCTGTATTGTCAAGCACAGGTCAACTCGGAGAGAGCATTCTTTCTTTTGATGTTAAAAATCTGTGCTGTCTAACATTCGAAACGTTTGAAACCGAAATGCTTATTAAAACTACCACAGTTAGTACCAGATCGATCATTGAAAAATATATACCGCTAAGGTACTGCAATTCCTACAAAATTCTACGGTAGACTTGTAGTATTACTATTTGATGAATGAACAAACGTAGCTACTATGAATTTATGAAGTGCCAAATTTGATGTTCAAACGGGGAACTGATTAGCCAGATTATTGGGACGGCATCACTGAAATGGTGTGGCCCGTGGTTACAGTGCCTGAGAAGCTAGAAATGGTCAACCGTCCGCCTACTGAAATTGGTGTGGCCCGTGGTTATCTGCTTTCACGAAGAACGCATGATGCTGTCACATTTATATATAGGGTTCTTCTTTGGGAAGAAAGAGATACTCTGATTCATAAAATAGAAGTCGTTTTTGATTTATACACTAATAAAGCAGCTCAAAGGCAGCTAATACCTTTCATTCAAACAGAAAGAGTGTAGATGGTACAGTATCATTGTATTGTACGCTCTGCAGCTGCACACTTGAAGGGTGTTCTTTTTGTTTTTTGCAGAAAGAAATTTAACTTATTTTTATTGAACTCCACTAGCAGTAAACTTGCGTGAATGGTACAAGCAGCCCATGGAAAAAATTGAAAGTTAGTCATTTGGATCCTCAAAGGCTAGAGGATATGCAGAAGGCGTTCAAATGAGGTCCAAGGATTCCTCAAGCAAACAGAAGCAAGAACCCACTTTTCATATGGAAAAACAGAGCATCAGAAATAGCGAATGACAATGTTTCAGACAACAAGGTTTACATACAGCAAGAGCTGACAAATCTTTTCTGACAATTAGCCTCTTTGCCCGCCACAAACACTACAGTTGCATATCAGCCTATCAGCTATTCATCGTCCAGTACAACGACAACAACCATGTGAACTACAACTAGCAGTAAAATACATGAAACAAAGTGCATCCTGGCACAACGCTGCAATCGAATGAATGCAGCATAAGCACCCTGGAGCATTATTTGATATCAAAATACCTGAGCAAACGACACTGGAAATGAGAGTTCAACTCTGATTGTAAGCAGTAAATAGTGGTATCGGATGGCATCCTACAAGGATGATGGTAAGGCGATACAAGCCAGAAAGCATCAGGCTCTGATGGTCACACTGCACAGACATAATCCTGGTGGCTTGAGCTCAGATGTGAACCACTCTGATCCCGTTGGTGCAGCGGGATCATACATCAGTGTCTTATAGCAGGGCTCTTCATCCAGAGAGAACAGCAGCAGCTTCCCATCATGTATGCCGAAACAAAAACGAGTACTAGAACTACCTGTGAGTGGCACTGGGACTTTCTGCCAAGAATTATCAGCCGGGTTGAAGACTGCGAGTGACCTCTGGTTCTTCCACTCGATGCAGAAGAGCTTTTTGTCAAGAACAGCATGGGCTGTGACCATTACACAACCATTCTTCACCTCACCCCAGGAGTTGTCATTAGGATTGTACACGTCAACAAAACGCGTGTTACCAATTGTGAAGCGCGAACGACCGCCCATGACATACAATTTGCCTTCAAAGCTGCACGCAAAGCAGCCCCACCTTGGACGGCGAAGGCTCTCAATCAATGTCCACTTATTCTGTTCTGCGTCATAAACTTCAACACTAGATAAACTATCACCATTGGGACCAAACCCACCAGCAACATATATCATACCGTTGACCTCTGCACAAGCAAAGTCACAACGAGCCACATTCATCTTAGAAAGCTCAACCCACCTACAAATAACACAAATGGGTCAGTCCAATATTTCGAAATATCAAAACCCTGGTTATTATCCTGCATTTGAACATTTCATGGTCTGTAAATAAGTACTGTTTGTATTCAGATTACAAGGAGCATGTTAATATAAGCCTTAAAGTCTTCGCAAATTGCAATGATTGTCTTTAAATTAGCAAAATCTATTGTCTGCGCATAGACTTATTGATGCCTATGAAAAGCCAACAATACCTGTTTAGGCAAGAATCGTATCGGTAAACCTCATCAGAAACACACTCCTTCCCATGATCAGCAGCATAGCCAGCAATAACGAAAAGCTTTCCATCTAGAACAACCACACCAAAACCAGCTTTGGTTGGCCCAGGCATGGGTGGAAGAGGGCTGTGCTTTTGCCCTGAACACCCCAAAACTTCCCAATGGGACCCCTTTGATCCAGCATCAGCAGTCAGGACATACACCCACTCCTCAAGCTTCCCAACCTCTTTCCTTACAGCAATGAATTCCTTACTCTCGAGGAATGACATCCACCTCTTGGACACTGAACCCATAACAGGGAACTGGCTCCGAGGAACAAGAGCAAGACATATCTTTGCGAGATCTTCAGGTAAGCCAGGTATTAGAGCACAGTATGCGTCGGATTCTCCTATGGGCATAAAGCCTTGGGAATATTTCGCCCTTGTTGGAGCCTTGAGCTGCATGCCAGCACAAAGTTGTGCCTGTGACTGAGCAAAAGAATCTCTTGTGCCAACAAGTGTAAGCATTGTACACTCTTGAGAGCGCAACTCAATTTTTGCCTCCCCTTGTTAGCCAACAGAAATGAAAAACTTTGGCTTATCTATAAGACTTTATCTGCTATAAATGACAGTGACCCACAGGAAACAATTCATGGAAACCGTCGCCTATGGGGATGGTAAGAGACAAGGGTTTGAATGATGCTGAAATGAGGTTCTTCAACTTTGATGTCTCTGTTTTAGTAATTCTTGGTGCATCAAATGCCATCCGATACTGAGAGACTTTGGAATGGTTTTTCCTTGAAGGGTCGGAAGTCTCCTTACTGTTGAGGTAGAAACCTTTACCTCCCACACACATCGCACAATTATCTACAGAAACAATGGGAAACATATCAATATATTTGCTAAATAAGCCAAAAAAATCATAATTAACAAGCACAAATATGCCAGCGATATGCATTACCTATGGCCATATAAATTTTGACGACTGTTAGCCAGCAGTTCCATCCATTTTCTGTGTTTTTAATCACCTGCAGTCAACACTGGAGCCTTAGCACAATCACTGATTCTTATCAAGCAGGAATTGGAATTCCTAAAAATTACATGATACTTCTTATTAACCCGAAGTAATACCAGTTCAAAGAGAAATACAATCACTGAAGTAGTTTTTGTATTGGTAATAAATAGCAGGAGACATAAATCTGTACCGATCAAGGAGGAGTTGAAAAACAGGGCTTTGATATTTGTGTGGTGACCACTGACCAACCACAATGTTTGGATCTCTAGTCTACAAATCAGAAGGGATAAGAACAAACGTTGCCAGGTGCCAAAACAAGCAACATGATAGTGGGTAAAAAAACCCATTGTGTGATTCCATCGAACAAATTAGCGGGCATCCGAATACTGCGAATTAGTGGACATCCAGTCAGGGGCGCCACCTATCATAGAGCTTGGGGATTCAGCCGAACCACCCCCAATTCTCCTGGAAACAAATAGCCACACCTACCCCCACCACCACCACCACGCAGGCACGAACCAAACCAATCCGAAACAAAATGGGCGGACTAGACAGAGAGAACAGTCTACGCTTAGATCGCCCAAAGCGATTCAAAAAGAAGATCGGAGCAAAGCTCTCGACACGGTCCGAGAAAGTTGGAGTCAAATCACCACCCAAAAAGGAAAAAAAAAACAAATCCGAGCCACCACTGATGGATCTCCGCTCTACGCCGGCTGAGAAATCCGGCGGAGGTGGAGGGGGCAGGGCAGGGCAGGGGAGGGATACCTTGGGAGCAGCGGAGGCAGTGTGGGGTGGCGCTCCGGCCTCGTGATGGGGAGGGATCGGACGAGAGGAAATCGGGGGAAAACAAATCGCCCGCAAGTTGGAGTGCGCGTGGGGACGATAGGAGAGGAGAGGAGGGAGGTGGAGAGGTGGGTGTCTGATCTCTGACGTGTTGTTTATATTGTACTACCCCTGTGGTTTTGTTTTCACACTCGGCAGCAACGTGGACAACGGGCCACAAATCATTGCTCACTCCTTTTGCAATTCTTTTTTCTTGTAAAGAAATAAGTTATGTTGACCTCCTCGTGCGCAGCGGCGGATTCACAATGGGGGCGGACTACCGTCCTCGGGACAGTGGAGATCCTCCTAAGCTCCCATTAAATTTTTTTCCATAGATTCATAGGATATGGGACTGGAGGTTCGGTTTATATTGATGTAGTTTATTCAGCCTCACTACTATTTTTTTTAGATCCGTCCCTACTTGTGCGCCTATCTCACATGTTGATAGTGAGGACTTCAAAACGTTATATAGTAGCTGTATAAGAAGTAGAATCACATATTAATTTTAGTTTGGATCATACATTCTTAATTATTGAACTACCACTGATGCTTCCCCACCATTCAAGAAATTTGAACCCATGTGTTATAATCGTTGATTTTTTTAAAAAAAATAGGTCAAATATGAAATATGATAAAAAAAAGAGTAGTTTCATTGATTTCTAAGTGGTTGTTCAGATTGTAGCTAAAATAAACTTTACAAAATTTTGGCAATATTGCCAAATTGCTAAAATTTTAGCAGGATTTCTTATCTATTTATTAAAGTTTGGCCAGAAAATAATGGATGAACATATTTGACAACTCTAAAAAAAACGATATGATTTGAAATGACATCAATCTGAGCAAGCCCTAAGTATGTTTTCCACGTTATCGTGTATGAAAACAAACAGTTTTTTAAAAGGTTTCTAGGTAGACTAATCTCGTTTATATTAATTAATTTAATTAACTTTGTATAGTCATTATAAAAATCCTTTTATCTTTCACTAACCACCGGCCATTTCACTTGAATAAATGCCCCACCCTTTGTTAACAAACTAATTCATAAAGTAAAGGGAATTAAAATAGTTGCTACAAGAGAGTGTCAACTTGTTAGATTTCTGATGATGAAACCTGCTATCATGATTTAAATTTTAGACTTGACAAGGATGTTTACATTTACCACTAGTTGTAAATATATCTGTCGATAACAAGGTATCTATAGTGACTTCGTGAATCTCAAGGTATGTCAGTCTAGTCCTCGAATGTCTCTCGAATCTCAAGATATGTCTGCTATATTTTTTAAGGTACAGCCATGGCGACTCCATGAATCTCAAAATATATTGGCATGTCCTCATAAAGTTAAGGTGTACGTGTAGGCGTTCGTAGGGCCTGGTTCTTGGAGGCATTTATAGGGGTAGGATGTTATCAGGGTTATGGATACACACATACCCAATAGTAATCGACTAAACTCGGCGAGACCACCATATACCAAGTCTTATACGGAATCATATCTCTTATATAGAAGGAGTTCCGGATAAAAAATTACAAAAAGAGTTCTATTGGAAACTATAAGGACTACTCGGATTATATCCATATTGTTCTCCCTAGTTCTACTTGGACAAGGGTACATCTATGGGTATAAATACAAGACCTCATAAGAGGAGAGGGGACGTGGACACCAATGCACGCCTCCAAATATTGATATTAGAGATAATCCTAGATATACCCAATCTGGCGCCTACAGAGGCCAATAAGAGGAATTTAGCACTATCTCTGATCTCGACGAGTACATATTCAAGGAGAAAGACTACCCCGTCGTCAACTACGTGTTGGTTTTCCATGCCGCCAAGTCAACGATGACTAAATAGGTTATCCTAAATGCTGTACTTGTTTGATTATGATGAATAAGAGCAACACCGGCTTCGGCCAATAGAAGTAGGGCTATTACCTGATTCTGATGAATAAGGGGCCCGAAGTTGTATAAAAATCCTTGTCTCTGCCTCTTTTATCTCAATCTCGCATATACCATGTTACCAATGATCCCCATATCATGCAAATACCGTAGTCGTGATCTAAAATGTCAACAGATGTGTGTGCGCGTGTTATATATGGGTGAGTGTACACACATTTATATGATGTATGCGTCTGTATTGTGTTTCGTAAAGGAAACAATATAGTACACTACTACACTAACTATTTTTCCGTGCGGTCGAAACTCATTTTCACGTGCGGTTGTTTCGCCCGTCTGTAATGAAGGGTCTGCGAAAATCGCGATTTTTGCATGCGGGTACCTCACCCGCACGCGGGCAGCCGCTTGCATGGGAAAATAAAAAGATGAAACAAAAGAAAAATCAAAACCAAAACCCCAAATCCAACCGCCGCCGCCGCCCTAGCCGAGGCCCGCTGCCGCCGCCCACTCCCGTCGCCGGCGGTCTCCCAGACGCCGGATCCGCCGCCTGCTCCCGTTGCCGACGCCGGCTGAAGACCCCCATCGGCGCCGCCGCTCCCGGCCTCCGCGCCGCCCACCGCCCGCCGCCAACGCCCCTACCCTCCACTGGATCTGGGGAGGGAAGGAAGGGGAAGGGAGGGGAGCCGGATCCCGCGCGGGGGGAGGGTGGCCGGCTGCCGGATCCGTGCGGGGACAGCCGCCGCCCGCGGATCCCACGCCTCCACTGCCGCCGCGTGGAAGAGGCCGTCGCGCGCCGCCGTCGCTGTCGCCGCTCCCGGCTTCCGTGCTGCCCGCCTCCTGTCGGCCTCCGCGCCACGCGTCGTCGTCACCGTGGTCCGCCGCCGAGGAGAGAGGAGTGAGGAGTGAGGAGAGGAGAGGAAGCATGAGAGAGAGAGAGGACTGAGGCGTGAGAGAGAGGAACGCACGTGAGTGAGGGGACTTAGCTGAGCGGATAAAGGAGAGGAGAGAAAAAGGGAAATTTTTAAAGTTCCTGTGCGGACCTATTAAGAGAGCCGCATAGGAAAATCGGCTCATTTTCGCGAGCCGATTTTCCTGTGTGGACCGAGTTACCGTCCGCACGCAATTTAAAAGGGTAGCTGTCCAAGAAAATCGTTTGTGCAGTAGTGGTAGAAAGCTCATACAATTTTTTATAAGGTTTTAAATAATTTAGAAGGTTAAAAGTCATACAAATTAAAACGTGTTTCAGCCCACATGGAGGGATAACCGCTTGCTACGTACGGCGTATCCGAGTCACCAGCTTCAGCTCGCAGCATCAATAAGTGGTAAGACAATATAAGCCAGTAGACCAGTTATATATATCTCCTGACGTGTAAGTGATTAGTGTGATATGCATGACAGAATAAGATAACTGTCAGTGTTCCATTATTCAAAGTGTCATCAAGCCGCATTATCGGTAGCAATTTGTCTCCAAACAAGCGCCCATGGTAACTTGAAACCCAGCTGCCTTCGATTGTGAGGTTTGATATTTTCAACAAGCTAGTAGATCGTAGGCTCTAGAGGATGTAGCTATCGCATAGAGAAAAGACTGATTATTCTGAGATATGCTTATCATGCTTTGACGAGAGCACACAGAAAGCTGATCAAGTGATCATCCCGTCAGACCTTTCTTTTTTAGCTTGTGGTTACTTCATAGATTATCATTTATATATGTCATGCTTTAAATTGGAAATATCCAAAAATATGTATGCCAAATATAATTATAGTAAAAATATAGTGTAGTTACATCACATTATATGTAAAATTGTATGTTGGAGCATCTGCTATAAATAGGGCTATATGATTGTATAGAAATGATATGGTTTTTATAAATCACCATCTATATCCTGTATGTAGGTTCTTTTCAAGGCAACATACTAGCTCTGATGTTGGGTTCAACTACTAAAGTGTGTTGAAGAAATCAAGTCAGTGAAAGCTGCATGTCGTAATCTTAAGTCAATGGTTATCAGCTACTCGCTAACTTTGGATGTAGATTCACAAATAGAATTATTCAAAATTTTTGTGATTTTTTTATGTTGTGTGAGTTTTTATTAGTTTGTGTGTGCTTTTGTTTATTTAGGTATGAGTTTTTGTTGAATTGGTGTAATAATTGGCTGTAGCTATTTAAGCAAAGGCCGGGATTATATTCCATTATCTGGAAAAAAAAGTAAATTGTATGTAAGTTAAAAATTGAGCTGGCTGCCCTGGTACACATGGTTTAAGGTCGTGGGTTTCATTCCCCGCTCGCTGCTGCTTCACTATTGTTTTATAGCACGAATCCCGGGCTATAGAATGTCAAGAAACCGACATATATTTTTTTTCGCAATAATATGCCGCCATCTTTTTTTGCAACTCCGTTCTAAATGACGTTTCTTTTTTACTTTCTTCATCAATGTTGCTTTAGGTAACTTTTTTACGCTACTTGTTATTTATAATATATAATATATTTGTTATATGCAATTGTCCAAAATCCACTTGATCATCTAAAAAATTTAAGAACGGGCAGTATATCTACTACTAGCTCAACACTACGGTTAAGTTCTAATAGCAACTCGAAACGGCTACTTGATTTGTTATTCTCCATGAGCACGTTTTGTAATCTACATTAAACAATACAATTCATGCATGCAAAAGTTTTCTATATAAGTTTCCTAAAAATCAAATAAATTTATTTTTAAATTTATGGAAATGCTACAGAACGGTATCCCGTTCGAACGGGATGATACCTGGGTATTAGCCGATACCAAATAGGTATCATGTAATACCTTCCCGTCCGAACAAGATATCAGCTGATACCTACCACGTATAGGGATGGATAGAAAGCTCGTGGCTCGTTAGCTCGCTCGACTCGTGACATGCTCGGCTCGGCTCGTTTGAATTTCCTAACGAGTTGAGCTGGCATTTTAGCTCGTTAGAGATAAAGAACCAGCTCGAGCTAGCTCGCGAGCTTTAACGAGCTAGGACTCCATCAGACATCCGCAAAGACCCAGCCCAATACAAAAGAAAGACCCAAGCCCAAGACAAATAGACAACAGCAAAAGTGCAAGCAAAACCCTAGTCCTCCTCGGTCCTACTCCTCACTCCTCATCCACCGCACGTGGCACGGCCGCACCACACGACACATCGCCAGTTCGCCACCACCAGCCGCTAGGGCCACTGCCGCCGCCTCACTGCGCTGACGGAGCTGGGT